GCCTGAATTTCCGCAAAACCATTGACTTCCTACTGTAAGAAATCAGTGCTTCTTGCGGAAATACTATTCTGCTCCCGTTCAGGCAAAAGTCCCTTTTGCGCAAAGCTTTTGCGCAAAAGGGCCAGTGTAGACAGCTCAGATTTGTTTTCCGCAAAAAAGCCCCGATGGCGAAAATGGTGAGTGGGGCTTTTTTGCGGACAAGCACATCTAGATTGGCACAGACGCTTTTCCGCAAAAAATGCGTTTGCGGAAAAGCGTCCGTGCCAATCTAGACACTCTGTTCCAAAAATGCTTTTAACAGAAAACTTTTCCGTTAAAAGCATTTCCGGAAAATCATGCCAATCTAGATGCAGCCATAGGGTGTAGGATTTACTACTGAGAACAGCACCATCGACTTCTGGCACGTTCTTCAGCTTCGCACTGGGTAATTGCCCACTGGGAAGGTATCAAACAAACCGACCACCTAGTAAACATTAGGCCAAGGGGAAATCCATAGGGCTGAGTTGTGACTGGCCACCGGTACATGTATTTCCCCAGCCAATGAGTGCAAACCATGTTGTTGTAACAGACATTGGAGAACGGGCTGTAGCCCTAGGATGAAATCTGATATTCATCATCATTCAGGACATTCCCACAGCACAGGGTCTTGGTCTGACAAATAAAGACAAATGCTGCACTTTCTGCAATGGCAAGGTAGCCAAATGATGTGGCACCGGTTTAATATGGCCACAGCCTCTAATTTTTCCTTCTTTTCCCAGCCAGGACTGAGGAAATATAACATTACATTTCCCCCTATAGTTGTTTGGATTTTAAATCGCAATCACAGTTGTCTTTTGGCCCCTTTTGTGCTCACTTCCTGCCAATATCCCAGCTGTCAAGCTGCCAGGCAGGACAATTGCTTGGGAAAATATGAAATGCTTGGAAATGGGGATTTTAAAGGCAAATATTGGAGAAGCCCCCAGCAAAGGGCACAGTTAGTTTTCAGTCTGAGGGGGAAGGGGGACTGTGGGAGGCAGGGGAGGAGAGAGGTACAGAGCTATCAGGTGGTTCCTGCATGTATCTCACAGGAGGTGCAGGAGGGCACAAGCTAGTGAAGAGCTATTCACTATATCTGAAGTGGGGACTACTTTAGCAAAAAAAAAAAAAAAAACCCTTCACTATGAGAGCCACACTGACTGCTATATTAGCACATTGCCTGCATGCCCAGACTCCAGAGGCAGTTCAAAATACAACAGAGTCTGAGCTTCATGCAGCTTTGCCTTGTGGCAGGGAGTTTGTTATAAAAAGAGGGAGGCAGGGTGATCAAGAATAACAAAAGACTGGGCATTCCAATAATAGAAAGATTCTTAGATCATCTTGAAAACATTGCCGGGAACTCCCCTTAAAAGACAGGAGAAAAGAGAATAGGAATGAGTGTGGTGCTGCTGGGATTTGCATTTGCATCACTGCTGTTAAACTAAAAAAAAGAAAAACAGGGTGATCAAGAATAACAAAAGACTGGGCATTCCAATAATAGAAAGATTCTTAGATCATCTTGAAAACATTGCTGGGAACTCCCCTTAAAAGACAGGAGAAAAGAGAATAGGAATGAGTGTGGTGCTGCTGGGATTTGCATTTGCATCACTGCTGTTAAACTAAAAATAAGAAAAAAGAATGAGAGGCACTGTAGCACCTTAGAGGGTATGCCTACACTGCAGCATTTTTCCAGGAAAACTGCCATTTTTCTGGGAAAACAGCCATTTTTCCAGAAAAACAATACTTGTATCCACACTGCCATTGGGTTCTTTTGCCAGAAAGTCAAAAAAACAGAGGGGGTTTTCCGACAACGGTAAACCTCTTTTGATGAGGAAAAAGCCTTTTCCCAAAAAAGCTTTTTCAGAAAAAGGCGTGTGTAGATGCAGAAGAGGGAGTTCTTTCGAAAGAAGAGGCTGCCAGGAAATAACACAGGCACCCTGGTGGCCACTCTGTCTAGACTAATCACAACTTAAATGCAAGATAGTGTCCTATTAATGTGGACGCTATCTTTTGAAAAAGCACATCACTTTTTCATTGCACTTTTGCTGTGTGGACACTCTCTTTCAAATCACAGTCAGCTTGTACGGAAAAAATCAGGCCCCTGTGATAAAACAACAAACTGGAAAACACATGGAACTAGCAGACGCACCCAGGTCTATAACTGAAGGAATTTCTTGTTTTGGAAAGTACATGAAAAATGTCCGTGTGTTATTTCAGGGGTTGTATTTTTTTTAAAAAAGGAAGGAAAATGAAGGTTGGACTGAGAGTTTGGGGATGAGGAGGGGCAGCGGGTGGTTGGCTTAGGGCAGGGGGATGGGTGGTGTGGGGGTGGGGCTCAGGGCAGGCG